TTTTTTTTCGTTGACAACAGCGTCATTTATTTTATGGTTATTCTTTCCAACTTTTGTTTGCTTTTCATCTGCATAATGACTTTTAAAAGTGTCTTTGCTTTGGATACTTTGTCTCACAGATTCTTTATTTTTCTTTCATTCTCTTCTCTTGCTAGCAAGAACGAAAAAAAAAACAGCAAAGTTTGTCTTAATGTTATAATAAACATTATATCGTCGTCAAATATGCTGCAGATGATAAAATAGTGCTTCCGATACAGAAATGAATGAAATAGTTCAACAAATAGATTATTACTTCTAATCTTCTGAGAGTAGTTTTTGATTTATACTATATGATTCATTCGAAAAATGTGTAATATTTATTTCTACAATTCATGAAGAAATAATATGTTAGTTTTGTTTCTTCACATGTGAGATTGTAATTTTTTTTAAAACTAAAATTGCCAATGACATTGAAGACACGAATGTTGTTTTTTTTAATCAAAAGTAAGAAAAAAATATCGTCATCATGACAGTGCTTCTGTAAATGCAGTTTTATTATTGTTGCCATCGTTTTTTTTCTTCTTGTGCTCTCGTCTGTATAGGGAGTGACAATCTGAAAGAACAATATGTAAACGAAGGATTGCCGAAGAAACGTAATGTTACATTTTTCGTCGTTTTTTTTGTTTGTTTCGATGTGCAGACATCTCATCAGGAGCCTTTGCTTACTATATTTTCGAGTTTGTGTCAATAAAAACTGTTCAGTACATTATATTAATTCCGTTTTTCTGCATGGTTATTGATTCACAAGTATCGTGTGTCTCGAAAATCTAGATGTACATCTATGATGAAAGATGATTCGATTGATATAAATGTTATTTTTGGTTCATCAGTCATAAGATTATTTCAATTTTAGCTGAATCATTATAAAATAAAAGTCATAAAGAGCTTGAGATAAATCTGTTTTTGATGATCAAAATGAAGTTATGATGAATGTGGATGTGGATGTCGACCATCCAGAACCGATCGGATCCGAAACCAATATTACAGACTCTATTCTTGTCTAATCCAAATGACTTCTTCAATAATATAACAAAATACTGAAGACATGGTGTGATCATTACTCATAAAATAAATTTTGAAAGATTAAAATGTTAATAATCAAGTGGAATAATTTTCAAAACAATTATATTTAGATTTATTACAATGAAATGTTCATTAGAATTAATGTATGAATTGATAAACTTGAATAGGAACGAAAAAAACCAACAAATTATTTGTGTTAACATAGAATATGATTATTCTTGTCTGTCACAATCATTATCACATTTATCTAATGATGAAGAAAAAAAAAAAAA